GTTATAAATTCGGGCACCGCCGGGAATCGAACCCGAGACCCCAGGATTACAAGGCCAGCATTCTAACCGCTAGACCACCGTGGCATAGAGGTGCCTACAAAACTCAAATAAACAATTTACGAAAAGAGTAGGCAATCATTGTTCCATGTTGAAAGTTACTTTCTTTCATGCAGGATTATTTTTAGAGAGGATTTCGTCGGTTGATTTCGCCTTGTGAGCTGATTTAGCTTCCTTGTGGTGGTCATCTAATTATTTCTTATTTCGAGATTCTCCTTGACTACAGAAAGTTGTCGCACACGTCTGACACGTGTCTATATGAGGCTTGTTTATTAAAAGTTTCTTATGAAGAAATCATTTTTTAAAAGACGTCTGCTTAAGGACTCACTTTGTCATTGCTTCCGGTAGTCCTTGTCCAATCCAGCAAGGTTTGTGTGAAATGGCACGAGTTTCATTCCAGAGTCCCTTCTCATTTAATGTATTTTAAATACTACGATGCCATCTAAATATTTGTGCAAATTATTCACGTCTTGTGGTGATTTCATTTAAGCGTTGACAATCTCTGCCACTCATTTGTAAATTTTTTGAAGTACCGAATCATTTATTTGCAAGAGATTTTTCAAGATATCTCGCTATTTCTCAGAATATTAGCAAGAAGGAAAATTTTTAAATACTTCTTTCTTGCCAGAAGTGATGATCTTCTTAATCTGCATTTCTGATTCTCGTCTTCTTTTAATTTCCGTTAAACCATCAGCACGTGCTTGGCTTTTTGTTGAAACCAGCCAAAGACCAATTGCGCCCAACAGCTGTTCACGGTCTTACAGACAAAGCCTTAACTTCTCTTTGCACTTATTCCGACAGGGGCAAAGTTTTTTTCCATTCTTCTAGCTGACACCAATTTCTCTTTTTGTGTTGTGCAATCCTGTCCTTTGTTTCGCGCAATTCTTCTAGCTTTCCTCGTGTCTCCTTCCAATCCGCGCAGTTACATTCCCTCTCTGTGACCGTGGATAACTTTATCTACCTTTTTCACCGAGGGTATCCCACACTGTCACCTTTACTATTATCAGATGTCTGCTCTCGAGCTTCATGTATCCTTTTATCCAGCACATCTCCGTCATCTTCCTCTTGTCATTAATGTCTTCTGGGGTGAGAGCAAACAGTCAAATTCCTGCATATGACCCACCCAATTTACATTCAGGTTTGGATTTTATCATATCAATACGCGATTAATCAGACGAGAAACATTAACATTGAATTGAATAATAATTTCCTTGGATATTATCCATCGTCTAGTAAATATAAAACGTAAAATGATAGATAGAGATAATCCCTATGTCCGGAGATAGGGATTAGCTCTATCTAGTGGGCCCAACTGTGTAGGAACCTGAAGACGGAGATAGAATCCCATCTCCGAAACGTCGTTTTACGTTTTATATTTACTAGACGATGGATAATATCCAAGGAAATTTTTATTCAATTGACTCTCCACCATCGTCAAGAAGTTTTAGATTTGATATTAATATTGAAGCTCGGAATGTGAAGAGAGGTACCAGAATTTTAAATTTTAATTTACTCTACTTAAATCCGAAACACAAACGGTGGTAAATAAATATACAGAATAAATCGGATTACTATGACGAAGAAGCCAAGATAACAGCATTAATATCCTTTAAGAACAGTGGTTGAAGAACTTATTACTGCTAAGCAACACGGTTTAGTGTGATTTTGTTTCATAATAGTCATACTTGTCATAGTTATTATCCGATATTTTCGATTATTTCGGATAAGATAATATTAAAATGGATCCTGAAGAGAAATGATGTAACATTTATTGTTTCATCTCCCGGAGGATAAGTTCAGTGGTAGGTATTTATGGATGCAGTAATGAAATCTGGAGTTCCAAAAAAGGAGGAGAATTTCTTGAAAATGTGACCGACTCGCTCTGCTCAGTTAGGAAGAAGCCTCCAAGTATGTTATTGAACAATGCGTGTAGTGGAATTGATAATCTTCGTATGTCACAGAGAACACTTTTCTAGCAAATTTTCCTAAGAAACCGCCAGAGAGAATGGTCTAAAAACATAACGAGTACGTCGAAGACCAGATACAGTTCAGTGGTAGGTATTTATGGATGCAGTAATGAAATCTGGAGTTCCAAAAAAGGAGGAGAATTTCTTGAAAATGTGACCGACTCGCTCTGCTCAGTTAGGAAGAAGCCTCCAAGTATGTTATTGAACAATGCGTGTAGTGGAATTGATAATCTTCGTATGTCACAGAGAACACTTTTCTAGCAAATTTTCCTAAGAAACCGCCAGAGAGAATGGTCTAAAAACATAACGAGTACGTCGAAGACCAGATACAGTGAGGATAATATTAAAATTGATCTTACACAGATAGGATATGACGTTGTGGACTGAATTAATCTGCGTCAATACAGGGAGGATAATATTAAAATTGATCTTACACAGATAGGATATGACGTTGTGGACTGAATTAATCTGCGTAAATACAGGGAGGATAACGGAAGAAGCCTCCAAGTATGTTATTGAACAATGCGTGTAGTGGAATTGATAATCTTCGTATGTCACAGAGAACACTTTTCTAGCAAATTTTCCTAAGAAACCGCCAGAGAGAATGGTCTAAAAACATAACGAGTACGTCGAAGACCAGATACAGTGAGGATAATATTAAAATTGATCTTACACAGATAGGATATGACGTTGTGGACTGAATTAATCTGCGTCAATACAGGGAGGATAATATTAAAATTGATCTTACACAGATAGGATATGACGTTGTGGACTGAATTAATCTGCGTCAATACAGGGAGGATAATATTAATATTGATCTCACACAGATAGGATATGACGTTGTGGACTGAATTAATCTGCGTCAATACAGGGAGGATAATATTAAAATTGATCTTACACAGATAGGATATGACGTTGTGGACTGAATTAATCTGTCTTGGCGTTGACGTAAGAATAATATTAAAATGGTTCTTAAACAAATTGTATATGGTGGTGTGGACTTAATTCAACTGCCTCAGTGACCAATGGCGGACGGCTTTTGAATACTGTAATAGATCTTCAGGGTCCACAAAAATAACGAGGAATATCTGTGCAAAATTGCCATTTGGACTTTGTCCATTGTCTGCATTATACAATAATAAAATTACGATGTTCGAAAGTTGGATTCTGGTTTTGTCCTCAAGTTAAAAAGCAGAGTGAGGGCAAGAAGCCTAAATATCAAGCCCTCTGGTCGAGATAGCATCAGACAAGTTACGCGTTCTGACCTCTTTCCCCGTTTCTTACCTGATGACGGAAGCATAATAAAGCTTCCGAAACATTTTGATTTTATCATCCTATATAATGTATATAATGGACAAAGTGCAAAGGAACATTTTGTTACACTATCCCCATAAACCATCAGACTTCGAGGAATATCTTGATGTTCTTTGGTGCTCTCAGTTTCTTAAGGAAGACCCTAATTCACGAAGCTTGTTAAACACGTGTCGCCAGAGGGCGACTTGTATTACCAGAACACAGAAAACATACACGCAACGCGACACAATCGATGACAGCAGTCGACTCTCTCACCTGCACTCGCTCTGTTCGACTGTCAACACTGTCGACCCTTAAGGCAAACAACCGCATCACGAAATCGAGTAAAAGCTCGGCTCAAAGATTTATCTTCTCCGTGGACAAGAGCGATCGGCTTCGAGTTCCGACCACTTTGACGGCGAAATAAATCATTCTTCTGCCAGTAATCGAAACCCGTGCCATAGTGAGACACCTCAGCGAGTGAGTCACCATCAAACACTTAAACGAGTCGCGTCCTCAAAGTAAGTTTCCCTGGGGCCGTTTACAGAAACAAAACACAATTTCATGGAAATATTTATTGCAACAGATACAGCAAGTGTCCAGCTATTTTTCAACATATTCGCCACCGGAATCGAGACATTTGTCATACCGTGGGACCAACTTTGGAATACCTGTGTCGTAGAAGTCTGCCGCCTGGGATTGGAACCACTGTGTGACAACCATCTCCGCCTCTCTGTCATTCTCAAAACGCTGACGCTGACCGGACAGGAATTTCGTGAGGTGTAGGAAAAGATTGAAATCACTGGGAGCGAGGTCCGGGCTGGAGGGTGAATGATTAAACACCTCCCAGCTAAACTCCTGCAGGAGACTTGCTGTCCGTCGAGCCGTGTGCGGCCTAGCGTTATCACTGACCGCACTTCACAGTCGGCGGGAGCTGGAATAAGAACCTCCATCTTCAACAGCTGCAACGATGCTACTGTGAGAACGCGGGAGGTGCCGTTAGTGCATGCGCCATGCTACGTCATTGCTCTATCACGTACGCACAGTCGCTTCGCGCAATATAAGGTTTGCTAGCTGTGGGACGAGTGGGAAACTTACTTTGTGGACGCTCCTCGTACAACAGGTCAAATTCAGAACTAATATATAATTCTTGGCAACAGAATTTCCTTAATGCCAGACTTAATGGTTATACCGCAATTCCTCGGCCACCAGAATCATAACGGGATACAGGCGAATCCGAAGACACTTTGCTGAAGAGGCACGAGGAACTTTGTATTGTGCAAGTGTCCCCTTACTTGAAGGAAAGGAATATTTGTATTTTCCGCTGTTTTTCGTAGCATATTTATACAGGCTACTTGAAAATGTACCATCCTCTCAAAGACTTGCACTCCTTTATATCTGAATAGATCCACGTTTCAGATGAGTACATCTTTTCATTTGCTTTCTTTTTCATATATCTCTGCTTCCATTAAAAATCTGATATTTGCCTACCTCGAATCCTGGGATTCCTTTGTGTTTCCGACATCTCACTGAGTTACAATAGTCTTCTCTTTACAGAAACATATTTGACAGATTTATACTCCACTTTTATCCACGTCCTCGTAACATATTGAAAAAGGGCGGTATTTTATAATTTATTTTATATTCTGTCGTTCTTATACGTCTGTATCTCCCTTTGACTTCCTACTTCCTACTAAATCCCATGCTAAAGGTCCATCCCTTGTCAAAATCTGCATCTGTTACAAACATATTAAGAAGGGACACTGCTGGTCCGAGAATTCCATCCACACCTGCAGCCATCATTGTGGAGGTCGTGGATTTGATCAAGAGCTCTACAGGATTAAAGCAGGTACTGCACTACCACTGAATATCTGAGGCCCACCTCAAAGCCCGAGTCGAGTGATTAGTGGATCAAAGGGCCATGTCCCCCGGAGTACCAGGCCGTAACACTTGCTATTTGAATTAATGGCTGCTTCCTCCGCCGGGGGGCGTGGTGCGTGCCTTGTCATGCAGCAAGGGTCAACGACTAACAAACAGCGAGGGTTGTTCCCGGAGTAGATGAATTTACTTGCCTAAATATACATTTGTCATTGAGAATTTGAGGTCAGGTTCGCAATGTTCCCCGTGTTTTTTGTCCTCGATCGTAAATGTTTTATATTTTGATAGAGATGTCAGTCCCTTCATGACCATTTCACTCTTCCTGACTCATCGCATTTTAGTTTTTCCTTCGACGCTTCTCAGACGGTGTAAACAAAACAAACTTGTCACCAGGAGTTGCATAGCTCCTGGCGCTTTAACCCCGGGTACCCACTTCGTTTCCCGGCGGTGCCCGGATTTATAACTTGTGTTGGGCAAGGCCGTGGCCTAGGCAACACGGAGTTTTCCTCATTGGCATCCCAACAATTACTCCATTCACACACAGAAGAAGGCAATGGCAAACCACTTCTGGATCATCTGCCAAGAACGTATATGAACAGGTCCCAGTCCGAGAAAAGGACGGAAGGATCCTGTTCATATGGACCTGTCCTCAGACACAACACTAAATAAATAATAATAATAACTTATATCATACGTACTAGCGAATATTTCTTCGGCGCTCGGTTAGAATAATTTAAGTCAAAATTAATTCACATTGACTGAAATCCCTGTCATCGAGCACGAAAAATTGCAATGTATTTTTTCGATGTCAATCTTATATTAATCCAATGGACACGCGGTGTATTGTCTGGTCAGGCTCTAGATTTGTATTCGCGAGTTACCAGAATCAAATATCGGGCAAGCAACCTGTTAAGATAACCGGGATATGAACCCTTAATCCACTGAGTCCATATTATGCTGCACAAAGGGTCCTTAGACACGCTTCATAATTCCACCACGAAACTGATTCTACACTCACATGGGCGGTCACGCAAGAGCGTGGGATGCTGGTAATTGAAAACATAAATATCACGTCTGTTTGTGTTTTTCGTGCATGAAACGTTTGCAGTAAATACACGGCCAGAATTTCGTGTCTCTATATTTCGTTTCAGTTATATGAAAATAATATAAAATGTAACTAGAGATTCACGAAATAACTTCAATAATATAGGATTTGAGACTTTCGCGGCGAGTACAAGGCAATCAGCCGCGTCAACTGGTTATCCTTATTGATTCTGAATTAGATTAAATTAACATTCAGCGTGGTTATCTTCAAGATGGGTGACCATCTATCGCCTCTCATAGACGCTTCAAAGGTTAAGTAACATTGGGTGTGTTCTGTTATCGTATGGTGACAGATTGGACTCACAGTCGGTTTTCTGTTGGTTAAGTTCTTGGTCAGTCGCCCTCGGTGGACTAGTGGTTAGCGTGCATGCCACTGGACCCCAAGGTTCGCGGGTTTAATGACCGAGAGAGATAAAATCAGTAGCAAAACTTCCTTCGAAGGGGATGTGAAGCCGGCATGTAAGATAACCTTACGAGAATGATACAAGGATCTTTCGTAAGCAAAATTCAGCGGCCATTTCTCACCCACGTCTCTCCTGATTCACTACTAGATGGCTCTGGCAGTCAAATCGGGATTGAATAGAAATTGTGCAGAGGCAGTGGGATGGTCGCTTACTACTCACAAATGCACACTTCAAAGACTAGGAAACCTCCTAAAAGGAGGCGGCGAAGAAGACGTGTGAACGTCTTGTGGAGGAGACAGTTTACAAATGTTCAAGAAGTCTCGATACAGTAGATATGTACCTGCAAGTCTAGATTTTTGTCAAGGCTGATGCCCAAATTTATAAAATTCGACGTGTTGAAAAGTTGGATAATATATATACTTCTTGTAATTACATTTAAATACAACTACATATTTACTTTTTATTTTCTAAAATTTTTTTTGAGTATTATATAATACTGACTAACTCCATGAAGTGATATTTTTCTTGGGAAGTTCATAGTCTGCTTTCAAGAAACTTCCTGATACTAACAGAGGCGACAGATTCTTTAATTATTTATAAAAGGTCTCTACTGGACCGCAATATAAGTCAGAAGTATATAGTGTGGATCTTAATAATCCATAACATCCATTTTAATATTATTCTCCGAGCTATGCCTATGTTTCCCAGGATGGCGCTCCTACCGAAGCTTTTGAACAGCAAAAATACACACCATCAGAAATTATATCTCATATTTTAATGCTCAAAGCAGTTAAAATTTATTTTTTATTCTCTCGGATTATTCAACCGAAAATTTGTTTTTGAGTTGACATATTTATATATTTTTTCTTCGATGCACACTTAGATTCATCTGATGAATTATCATAGTAATTCTTACCTTATGTATTTTATGCAACACGGAAGAGTAGACATTTTTAAGAATTCTTGGCAATAGGAAGTAATTAGACTTCAGTATCAAATGCAACAAATGTAAAAACTGTACACGCTACATACAAACACGAAGTACAAATTCGTAATAACAACGCCGGAACTTACGAAGTGTTACATTTTTAAATTTTATAACTAGCAGAATGCC